TTTTTTTTTTTTTTGACTCAGTTGAAATAAAATCATCTATACTTTTATTTTTAAAATCATAAATTTCATTTATTCCTACTACTATACGTTTGTTTGTACATGGATCTTCTTCCCGATTATTTAATGAGTTTACCATTTTAATTTTAGTATCTTCACATAAATCATCATCATAAAATGCCAATGCTGCCGAATCGGATAGTAAGTACCATAAGTGACCCAAAATTTTTTTTTAAAACTACTTTAGAAATATCTTTATCTATTTGTTCATAATCAATTATATTTTTAATAAATTGTAAATCTAAATTTGGCGCTAATGCAGTATTGGTGCACTAAACCATTGTTTAATATATAAACTTGTAATAAAAATATATAATGAACGAATATTTAACTCTTTGATTGACAATTCAAATTGGCCCCGAAACCAAAAAATTTTCAAACAATAAATGGCCTTGGCCATCTAACGAGCATGATGGATTGGGCCAGGAATTTTAAAATAAATTCCATGCAAATGTTAGGGTGTGATATTTTATACTTACCATGCAGAAATCACATTTATGAAATTATATTGAAAAGTGTTTTTGAAGTAAAATTTAATACGTCATCTGAACCAGATGTTTTCAATAAATTCCAAAAGTCTTGGCAAAATATAAATAAAACAAATTACTTAAGTGGAATAGAAGATACTGTTATTTTAGAAAAATAAAAAACAAAAAAAAACGATATTTTGAAATTTAGTTTTGAACAATTACAAAAATACCAACCTCGAGATGACTTTTAGAATTGGTCATAATATTTTTTGGTGAAACACCTTTACATAGAATTGATTTTAAAACTCCTGGCCCAATCCATCATGCTCGTTCGATAGCCAAGGCCATTTATTGTTTGAAAATTTGTTTTGTTTCAGGGCTAATTTGAATTGTCAATCAAAGAGTTAAATAATATTCGTTCATTATCTATTTTTATTACAAGTTTATAAAGTTTCTGGTTGTATATAAATTTGTAAGTTAACATTATTTTAGCTTCAAGTGAAATTGAGACGGTATTAATTTTATTCTGATGCGTTTTTTTTTAATTAAAATTTAAAAAATTGTAGGTTTTGAATAGTAAATAATAGAAAAAATGTCGAATTAAAAATGTATAGAAAATTAAATTTAAAACAACGGTTACATTAATTTTTTTTATGTTTTTACAGTGAACGATTTATAAATTAACAATTTTAATGGTAAGAATAGAACATATACGTTTTTATTTTTTTAGGGCTAAATAAGAACTTTTTGAAAATTTTTGTAAATATACTTTTTATAGAAAAATTGTATACCTACAAAAAAGTCTAAATAAACTTTTTCGCAAAAGCTAAAGTTTTTGAGATAGACAAAAAAAACTAAAAAATCACCCTTAGGGGGTTACTTTTAACCCCCTTGGGGCACGTCTTAGAGTTGACCAATAGTCTCCAAATTTTGTACAATTTATTTTTTCATGTATTCGAATAATTCTAGGGGGTGGCACTTACAAATATTAAAAAAAAAAAAACCTCTCATGTAGCTAAGGGTCACCCTATTGAGTATAGATTATAAAATTTTCACTTAGATTTCCCAATTTTTTCCAGATGTTAAGTGATAAAGCCCAATTAAAAATTCTTATTTCATTTAAATGTTGGCGAGGTTTTAGATTTTTTTTCAGTCTTCTTTTGGATACGCCATTGGATTCAGTATAATTTATACAGTTACACACAGTGGGATATCAAAGATTTTTCAAATGAAGGCTATTACTTAAAAAAAAATTAACGACTTTTTTTGGTAACTTTTTTCTTAAAAAATTTGTTTAGAGTGACTAATGAAGATTTAACCCTTATAGTCCTCCAGGATACGTCACTGATCGCAAAATATTATATTCACATTGGAAACAAGCGATATATTTAAATTTTACTATAGTAGGTATTCATTATGATTTAATTAATTTTAAAAATCCAATAAAAAGTAAAGGCAATTCTTATCAAAGTCAATCAAATGATTGAATAAAGAAGGTTAATTAGAAAATAAAATGATAAAAAACGTAAAAATAACACTTAAATGAACTTATAATCTCACTCGTTTAATATGTAAACACATCAAACACATGTTTCTAAATTTTCACAAAAATACGCGAAATTTGGTTTTTATAAATAAAATACACTTAAATAATTTATATTTATACTGGCCAACATTATAATATGTAACCTTGATAAATTTGTATGAATTATATAATTATATTGTCTCACATTTTCTATTTAACAATAACTGCCCAAGCAATAATACGGAACAGCGATTATCAATTAAAAAAAAAAAAACAGGAAACTTGTACACACATTAAAGTGATAGATTATACAATTACTGCTAATAACAAATAGTAATAAATAAAAAATAAATCATAATATTTAAGTTACAATATGAGACCCAAGCTGCATTAAAATAAATAATAAGATTAAAAAAAATACTTCTAATATTATGTATTAGAACTTAAAAAATTATGACACTTGTGTAAATGTTACTTAATAAATAAGGCATAGCCAAATTAAATATAACATATGAGTTTTTTATAGGTACTAAATGACTAAAAATATTAAAATACAATTGTTTTAATGAGACAAAAATGTTTGAGTAGTATAAACATTGAACATAGACACGTAAGAATTAGTTTTCTTTTTTATGTAAATGTTACAGACTAGCAATACGCGAAGCTAAACAATTAATAAAAATCATAATAATAATTATCATAAAAACATAAATAAAATATCATAATAAACTGGCTCAGTTTTATTTTAAGTTATCAAATTAATTAGACACAGGCCACATTGGACCCACAGTACTACATCACATGTGCAGTATAATAAAATTATAAATATGTGGCACATAAACAAAAATATATAATAATAATAAATAAAAAATTAGAAACAAAGATTGGCCAAGAACAGTAAGTTGTAGCAAACTTAATGATCAAAATGAGTTTTATTACAGCCTTTCTATATTAACATAAATTAATAAGAAGAAAAATACATCAATAACAGATTTCAAATGGAAAAATGGATCACCAGCAAAACACGGACAGTTCACCACTATGATCTTTGCTGGTATGTCTCCACGTCGTCGCTGACAATGCTTTGAGCTGAAAAAAAATTGAATTAATTATTTAAAAATTACACAAATACTTTAAATAAAAACGCTCAGTTTCTATTACATAATTAAGGAAATGCATATTAATCAAATGAATTTTTAAGCAAGAAAGGGTGCATCACAATAATTAACCTTACATAACAACCAAGTATACTGGATTCGTTAGAAAAAAAAATCATTAATCAAGCGAGTTGTACGCAAGCCCAATTGTATGGCAAGGTCAAAACGTAAAATATCGTGTCTACTCAGACTTAATTGTAATTAATCAGCCATCTCAATTACGCTTGCATGGCAAATTTTATTCAACACTTTTTCTGGTAAAAAAATTTAAATCATAACAGATTATATTTACTCTTCAACATTTTGAAGTCTTAAAAAACTAACACGTAAACAAAAAAAAAATTAATACACAATTTATGTTTAAAAAAATGCAAGGAAAATACTAATACGATGTTACACAATAAGTATTTTTAATGTATAAAATACATGTGTACGCATATCTTAACATCCGAATAATTAACAGTAATAAAAAAAACAAGTCGGCTGGTCCGTGTAATGTTTCTGATGTTAAGGAAATGTATTTAAAATAAAATTATAGTTACACTTAATGTGTTGTTTTGATTGTGCATAACATTATTTAATGAATAGCCTATTATCATTTGATCACGACGTTTAGGTCGATATAATAGGCATATAACAAGAACAATCTTTGAAAATAACGTAACGATCGTTCACCTTCTGATCACTATCAAAGTTTTAGATCACGACAGCACTAGTCTTTTTATTGGTCGATTGCACGTTTTCATTTTCTCATAAATATTTAAATACGTTCAGCTATACTTATTTGGGATATAACTGTAAACGGTAAGCCTTGCAATTAATTCATATATTTAGAATGATCATCTTTATAGCCGTGGAAAGCAAAACGTCATTAGACACCATTGATCAATGGGTGCCAAAAGCACCGTAAAGTACCAAAAGTAATTATTTTATTCAATAATCTAAACATAACTTGAGTATAAATATGAATTTGATTTTTGACATTGAGTTGTCATCTATTTCTTGTATGAAATAACTATGATAATAATGATAATAATATTAGAGACTTTATTCATGTTTCTCTTTAACACTTGTACCGATCATTGCCATATATGCATTTTTATAAACAATTACTGTAACAATTATTGTTACTGTAATTCTATAAGTCAAGAGATAATCATTTGATAATGCGCAGAATAGGTAAATCAATGTAATACCGATTGCAATTTTGTGTGGTACCTGATGGTCGAAAAAAAAACTCTCGTTAAACAATGAAATTGTACAATCAATAAAATAACAGGAAATTGCGAAGGACATAAGCAAAAACTAAAAACTATGTCATTCAAAATATTGGAAAATTCAGTAAATATAAATAGTGTAAATTATGAAACTTTTATACTAATTGGTATTGTACCCGATTCACGTTTAAATTGTACGGCAATGCGTTATAGCATATTATTTGAAATTTCTGTGATTATATCTATAACAGCTTATAATTATATCGCTATAATTACACAATCATGAAACATAAAATGTGTAATATTTTCGAATATCAGATGGAAGAGCTAAACATGTCAGATTTATTAATAATCGACATAAAGGTTGTAGTGTAGGTAGCAAAGTTAAATACAAATAGAACGTTGGTATTTTCTAACTACACAGACCTTGTAATGATTATTTTCGTATTATCATAAATTATTAAGCGATAATTTTATTTTTGTAACAAAAAGCAACTTACAGTTATAAAAAAGAAATCTACGTTAAAAGAAAATATTAAGAAAAAAATATATTCCAACTCGGTATGCACATGTGGTGTTAATTTGTTACTGTACATATTTTTATATATTAATATTTATAATTTGAAATTAATTACACACTACTTGTCTGTGAATAAGTAATTAGAATACATAATGTACAATTTGTTTATCACAATACATACATACTTAACCAATGAGCACCAGCATATGTTGAATAAGTAATACTTCAAATACTTGACAGGTTTTTTTTGTTTGCAACACACTAATTACATGTGTCATTTGTAAGTACAATGAATAGTGTGTAAATCAATGAACACATGGATATTATTTCAATCATTACGAAACGCATAAATTTCAACTTTAATACTTAATTATTAACTTGACTAGCTATAAGCTTCAGAACTAAATACACAAAGTGCAAATTACTGTATTAAATTTACTAAGTAAAAAAATATTAATTTTAACGGGTAACAATTTTTTATATATACATATAAAATGTGTTACCTCCACAAAATTGTCGTTGGACTATCAATGTTATTACATTACACGTGTGATTCAACGATTGACAACTTCTTCTTTATAGTACTTATATATTTATAATGATAAATAAAAAATGTTTGTATAATTGTCTGGCCTGCAGTTGAACAACTGTCGGATGTGTTTAGCGTTGTAACTTCAAATAGCGAGGAAAAAACCATATGAACATTTCGTGTAGAAATTTTTTTTGTAATTAAGAAGTTCTACAGATAGTATAATTTAAATATTTATTTAAAATGGCATATCATACAGCGCAATAATATACTAAACCCACGCATACAGAAACATTTATCATAAATAGAATTTAAAAAAATTCGTGTGATTTGTAAAATAAAAATTTCTGTTTCATAGAAGGGGACCGCCGCACGTCGACTGTTTAGGTCTCAAATCAATATCGTGAATATAATGATACATGGCGAATATTCCTACTTGAGTAATAAAATGTATTTGAGTGAAACCCGTAAATATCTTTGTATTTGCGAAAGTCGAAACCAATAAATTGTATTTGCCTATAACTCCCGAACTGCCAACAATAATAAAATAAACACTTTAAAACGCGCAACAGTTAAACCCTAGTTTTTTGGTAGTTTTATGTGTAATTTTAATACATTAAAAATGCATGACTGACCCTGTTAACATATGCATTCAAAAGATAAAAAATCTATAAAAACAATATAATAATCACATAATCGTAGGCCAAAGCCTAGATATTGAAATTATACCGCCAAAGTGTAAGTGGAAACGAATAAAAAAAATAATAATAAGCTATAAATACTAGTTATTATTCTTATTGTGGTTAGCACTATAGTGTAATATAAATTTCTGTACTTTTTGTTGATTGAAAACATTTGATATGCTTCTTTTGTTTATACTAATTCACATATAATATTTGCACGTACAACAGTATACTACGATCGGATGTTACTGTAGACTGAATGGGAGGGGGTTGGGGATAAACAGGTTAGTAAAATGTTTACGCAGGCAAGTTATCCAGACAAATGTCTTTCTCCTTGAACGACGATAAGAAAAAATGTTACAATAATAAATAATTTTAGACACACAAATTTATTACAACTCGACGTGATATAATTCGTATAAATACATTTTAAACTTCAATCGATGATTCATAAAATTCTAACCAGGGGCGTATCTAGGGGAAGGGCGCCTCCTCCTTGGAAACCATCGCCTACTTTAAATAAAGTTTTTTCAACAAATTCTGATTTCAACACTCACGATATTCTACCAATAATTTTATTAATATAAATACTTAATATTTACAGTTGATGAAATTGTGGCAAATTAACGAAATATTTCTGAACTGATAATGCGACTACCCATTATTTAACATTTTATGTTTTCAATTAAAAATAGATCACACTATTGGACACAGAAAGCCAAATGTACGCACATGGACGTTCAAGGAATGTTGCTTTTACTTTCTGTTGTGTTGTAAACGGAGGTGGTAGCGTACAGAGAAAAATATACAAACATAAAAAAACAACGAACGGACGACCATGGTTTGAGATTAGTATTATTGAATGAACGGTTGGTAACCATGACGGCGGATGCGGTGGTATTACACATAAATGCAATGGTCGTTATAGTAGCCGCCGCTACGCTGCCCAGCAGTAGTAAAATAGTAGAGGAAAATACGTGAGCGAGAACGACAGAAGTTAACGGCGGCGGGTGTCAAGTGGGCGGACGGTTGACGACGGTATGGTTAGAGATAGGAGAAGGAATATAAAACATAAGAGAATGACAGTGGGAAGGGGGCGACTAAGACGTCGTTTTGTTTGGTGATAACGCAGAGGCGGACTAGGAGAATTCCACGACCCAGACCCTAATATATTCTTTGCCCAGACCACACGCATAATATGAGCACCATGGCGTTCCTTCAACAATATTATACAAGATCGGTCGACTGTATAAAAATAGCGGGAAAGGTGACCTTCAAAACGGAGAGACTTGTTTACTTCCAACATAGTTTTACGTGTTATAAACACAATATAGTAATGATTCACTACACACACTCACGCTTATCGTAACGTAGCGCCCAAAATGTGTCGAGAGACGCGTTGAAAAACAATGGGCATAACGCGTAATAAATTATCACAATAACTACCCACAGGAAAGATTGTAAAAGCGGTCTATATTTAATGAAAATAAATTCCAATAAAAAAGCAGAAACCAAAGAAATCATTGAAGTTTTTAAATAACCGTAATTGAGTTAGATCACAAATAGTAAATAAAAAGCGTTCCGTACTTAGTACATTCTTAAAGTCAGTGATTTTTTTCCCTTTAAAAACGTAATTGTTATTTATTATACATAAAATATTTTTGGATGGCAACTTTATGCGGAGAAGACTTATTTAAATAGATAAATCTGCAATATAAGACTTGTTATGATGAGTTTTTCGTTGGTGTAGTTGTATATAGAAAAATAACAGCTGAACTAAACCAATAGTACCATATAATAATATTTATTATATTCGAGACTCGAGATTTTATGTTGAATTTTTTTAACGAGCGGCAGGGGTTTCTCTTTGTCACCGCCATCTTCCCCACTGCTACTTCAACAACACTCTGGCAAACCTTTAAATGGATTGCATCTCACACCAACTCGTTTTACTGAACGAACAAGTGCACAAAGAAAAATATAACCCCAAGAAACTCTAGTAGATACAATATACATACAAATATACACGTGTTAAAAACATATTGAATACTATGTAATTGCCTTAGTAACATTTTAGAAAGAGAAAATTTTGCACAGATTGAATTGTTGTTTTCTAACACGTTTTTAATCAAAAGCTATAATAAACTCAAAACCATCATTTTTTTCGTTAATGACGACTTATTGATTTTTAGTACAGCTTTTTGAATTACCAACAATAGACAACAGCACCGACACACTTGATAAAATTTTTAATGGCAAAAATTACAAAACAACAGTGACATTTTAATGTTAACAAACAAAACAGAGTATACCTAAATAATAGTTGGCGTTTTGGCAATAACACGACGGCAAAACACATGAGTCATTCTGAGGGGCACGTTCGTATCGTCATGCAATAAACGAAGCGTCAGCCTGGCACACCTCGTTTCAGGTTAACAGTTTTATATATACAATACTACAATATGATACCGAAAATTCCAAATAAAAATTATTTTTAGAACTCTCTTTAACAAACACGTGACGAAAATAGTCATACAATTTAATAGCTACAAAATATGATCAATACTATTTGGGTATTAGGATAAGAATATCAAATATTGGGATTTCAAATTTTTTGAGCTTTGAAACAAATACTGTTTTCATCATGAACAATTTCATTGCATTAATACATATTTTTTAGTACTTTAGCAGTAAATTCATCGGGAACATTTAATTGTCTCCAATAATTAAAAATAATTTGCGATTTTCAACTAATAAAAACAAAATAATTTATCTGAACAGTTAAAATATCGATAATGCGTATGTGCACATAATATGTGTAATAATTAATTGATATTATTTAAAAGCCAAAATTTTTGGATTTATAAATATGAATTTTAAACTAAATTTCTAGTACAATACTAAATATACGGATGTGTCATTTATTATGTTGACTTTATTTTAAATATATATGTGATATCTGTGTTTAAACAGTCATTCAGTTAACTAAGGTTTTATTACACATGATAACTTAGGGTTATTAAAGAGGTAAAAAATGAAGTTTTACGTTTCTGTATGAATTTGAATTACTAATAACTAATGAGCTCATAACTATTGAACATTTATTTGATTAAAAATTAGGGATATAATTTACAGTTGTAAGTAGTGATGTGCGTTTTCGGAAATTTTTTATTCCACCAAATAGTAATTTTTTAGCATTAACTTCCATAGTTAAACTGTTTAGTATTTATTCCATATAAATACTAAACAGTTTTTAAAACTATTAGAATATCATCGTGGAATAGTTTTTAATACAATTCGAATAATAGGTACTTTTGAATAGTTTTAATTACTCTCGAATAGTTCGATAGTTATGTTTACCAACACTAGTTAGTATTGAGTTTAGTTTGCACTACTTCAGAACAATCATCAAATTTCCGTTAAATATTACACTGTATAACTGAAATTAATATAACTTAGCAATAAAAAATCATATAAAATAAATTGAAAATTATTGAAATTCTATACATATTAAGACTATTCTATTCTAAAATAAACCAATCATCCTAGAACGATAAATTGCTAATAAAAATCTATAAGCATAACTGTGCATAAATCTAAAAATAAGAATAAATGGTCGATGTGCATTCCATTCACGTAGTAATATATAGTGACGGTCATGTGGAACGTGTTAGTCATTTACTATACACATACTAAAACATAGTAAATTTCAGAGGATCACAGTCTAAACTCAAAATGAAACCTATGCGAAATAAACCATTGTTTAATGTATTCCCTACTCACAATTGTCCAAAAATGTTTCAATATCAAATAACAAATCTAGCGAGAGAAAGAATATACACACATCGCGGCCAACTTATTTTTTAATAATCACATTTATTTAATTTCGCAATCATATTTGTTCCGCAATTAATATGAGTAAACATAACAGCACAGAAAACAACTACATAAAATAACAGTATACGTAACGTCAAAATCACAGCGAATTCTACAAAATGGCTATTAAGACATTAGTTACTAAATGACATACGTAGCAACGCGTAGGTTTAACAGAAGAATGCAAAACACAACAATACTATTTCCGCGACACGGAGAGCGAGAAAATAAATGCGGCTATTTTTAAACTACAACATAACAATTTTATTGGATCTTTGACAGTCTTCAAAACTGGAATCTTAATTAATGATCTTGTACAATAGCAGTGAAACAAACTTTTAAACGGGCTATGTTTGCTATGTCGGAAAGAACAAAACATCACTTAAAATAATTTAATAATCCGTGAATAAATATTATAAAAGTATAAAGAGAGATCATTATGCAGCATTTAACAAACTAATAATAAAATGAATAAATAATTGTAGATAGCATGGTTACAGATTATTTGTGGATAGTTTCTAATGGCCTCGTTTTACCATTTATCTAATCAATTTATTTTTTTTAATTACGAATTACTTTAAATCTATTTAAAGTCGGTAATCAAAATTAACTAGTGCCAAAATTGAAGTGAACTTATATTAAGCAAACTGTATTGATTATATAATTTTTAGTAAGAAATGAATATTAAAACAAGATAATAAACGAAAAAATAAAAAAAACTAATTATTATTTAACATTAAAAAATTAAATATAATTCTAAAATTAAAAAGATAAACAATTTTAGCTTAAAAATTTTAATTAAAAAAAAATTTTTAACAACTGATTTAAAACCATAAGAATTATACATATGATTTTTAATTTTTTTCTCAACAAAATATAATATCACGAACTTGAAGTACAGTTTACCTTTAATAGTTATATTAACCTTTAACCCTGAAATATCACCCTTTTTCGTTAGATAACATTTTTATTAATAAGGTGAACGAACATGTCCGACTCATAATTTATCAATATTCAGATGCATACAAATAAAATTAATTCTAAACAGTCTTACCTGTTGCATTTTTTCAAAGTCTAAGCAAGGTCTTTGTACATTTCGAGTAGGATGATGCCTCTGTCTATGACGTTTACGTGGTGATGTATTTGGAAGTGATACAGATTGCCTAGGTGACAAATGTACTAATTTTAAAGGTGGAGAAGAGGAAATGGTACATTGTCCTGGTTTATGTACATGAGATGGTGGTGAGGCACAAAATTTTAAAGGTGTTGGTCTTGTAGACATAAGGCCTTGAACTTCATCATCAGATGAACCTGACCAACTAACAGCTATAGTATTTCCACAACCAGCCTCACTGGCAGATCGACAACGCTTACGAGCTAATGAAATTGCAGAATTATCTAGTACGCCACAGGAATTCGCCTCATCCGGATCAGGAGTAGGTACTTCTACTTGCAGTAAAACTTCAGGATTACTATTTATGACTTCTAATTCCTCCTCAGAACTATGTTGATCACAATCACTAGGTAAGGCAGAATCCAAGAAATAAGGAGATGCTCCAGGTGTAGCTACACTACTATGACCACTACTAGAAGACCTAGTTGGTTCCATATCACCTACCATATCTTCAACAACGTTCTCCATTACTGTTCAAATTAATAAAACAACTTTTAAAAGGTTTTATACAAAAAAAAAAAAATAATAAAAAATCTATTAGTTTCATTAATTGAAATTAAGAGAATGTTTTAGTAACATAATTATTATGTTACTAAAACAGTTTCTTACTGTAATTACTCATGTTTTTCAACATATTATGTTTATAGTTAACTATTAAAAACAATTAATACTCCTATCCATTAAAAAATAAATGTTCAAGCTGTTGGGTAATAGAATAGGTGGTAGCCTTATTTTTTGCTATTACAAGCTATAAATTTATAATTGTAATGTAAAAGAGCAAAACAAAAAATGTAAAGAAAATATTATATTAAAATATCATAAATCATCAGGATTAAAAGTAATATTATTGGTGCTTCTAAACAGAATGATACGAGAAAAAAACAGCAATGTTAAAATTATTTAGATTTATCTAATTTTCATAACTTATACATACATTTTCTTGTAGTAAAAGTTTTTAACTCTAATAGTTCAAAAGTTTTGAAGAATTACATTTACCAACTAAATACTAATCATGATACAAAATTAATAATGAAAAAATTAACTTTATCATAAATACATAGAATTGATTTTAACATATATCTATTTCTCAAGATAAACAAAAATTAAAATTTCCATATTTCTAAAACATTATTAGAACATATATTTTTCTAAAAATTGAATTTAAAGTTTTAACATTATACAATTGTTTTCAATTTTATGTATAGTTTCCTTGTGACTATGTATCTGTATGTGTCATATCCAATATTACACAAAAACCTTATTTGCAAAGGTGTACTAAAGTGTAAATGATAGTATACACTTATGATTTATAAAAAAAATATTTGTGTATATACATATATTCTCATAAACTAATTCAGAAGTAATTTATGAGTACATTAACATATTAATGGAAATTGAAAACTGAATTTGAACCAATTATGACCAAGCAAAAATAATTTATCATTAAATTAGTTTTACTATACTAAAGAAGAAATTTGCAATCAATATCAAAATTATTTTATATAATTATATAATAGTTCATAAAATTACAATCATTAAAAACATCTGAAATAAAATTTGATATTTTAGTAAAAAAATTAAATAATCAAAACATTAGAAGTTCGGTTAGTGTTGTTGCAAGGCTTACTTACTGAAATCTATTAATCTTATATTTTATGATTGCTAAAAATTTACTACTCTTAACCTTTTGATTATTTTCTATAGAAGATTTCTATTTTTAGAAATACTTACAGAAATCAAATGATATACTCGTTAAAAAATTAAAATTCTATTAAACTTTTATAAATTACGTTTCGTTCAAATATTTTTCTTTACTTTAGTATCTCTAAGTTATAATATAGAATATTATAACTTAGATTAGAATATTTTTATATTAAAAATATTCTAAGGTTCATAGTTAATACTTGAAAAATATATTTCCTAACTTGTCATGAGTAACATAAGTATTTATTTTATAATAAGAAAAATTTACAAAACATTTAGCATAATAGGTTTTTCATTAATAAGATTTTTTTAACTACAATTGTAAAATATTTTCATTTTACCAACTCATATATTTAATTAACTAGAGAATAACTTATGTAACTTACATTTGATAGATTCAGGTACACAATATTTTGAACTTTTATATTCTCTAATTGGACTGTGCTCGTCGTCTGACTCTGTGCCAGAATCGTGGTCAATAGATTTTATCTGAAAATTGTTAAATAAAATATTTGATCAAAATTAATTTATTATATTTTAATAATCTTATAACTCATTAGTTAAACTAAACTTTAATAGGTGTTAACCCCATTAATAAAATAAATTTTAAATATATATTTTTGTACATGAATCCAAAATCTTTATTTAAACAAATGACTAATACTTAATTATTTATAGTTGTTTTGTTAAAATTCATTACAAAAACATAAAAGCAAACATAACTATATGTATAAAATTTTTATTAGAATTTTCAAAATAATATGTAGAGTAAATTATTTTTTTTAATACATATAATGTAGACATAATTTAAAAGTGGAAGAATTTAATTTAGAAAATAGTTCTAGTTTTCTAAAATGGCAAACAATATAATTCCTAAAAGTTGTGACAAATTATTAGAAAAAAATAATATCTACATTATATCGAATTTTTTTTTTTAATATTTATATAAAAATGTTATTATATTCATTTAGGTTGATACGCGATGAGCATTTAACCGTTTTTGATTTGTGACACAACACATGTTTTTTTATTAATTAAATTAAACTAACAAATAACTTGAATATTTTAATAGTGTAAAGGTTTAATAAGAGCACTTGATACAAAAACAAGCATGATTTTCAAATAAAATAACTATTTTTAAGTAAAGATTAAAAACATAATATAAATAAGAAACAAAATGTTCCTTAAAATATTGGTATTAATAATTACATAATATGATCATCACACAGTAATTCATTGAAAAATTTACTATAATCAAACAAATTTGACTAAACAATCATTGATCTGAGAAATTTCTAATTTAACAATGAAATTAATACCAAAATGACAGAATCATTAATAAAATTATAAGTAAACAAAAAGTAACTATCTGGATTTGTTAACATTCATATGTTTAACTCAAAATTGTTAGACCCTATAAATTCAGCAAATTGAAATTATTTTTGCATATGCTTTACTTAATTTTTTATGATGCAACAACTATACAATTAATATACCGTTATACCAAATAAAATGTTATTCTTAGAGTCAAATGTGATCATCACATGACGCTTACAACAATTTTTAAATAGTAATTATTACAACAATACGATTATCCATAACAATAAAAATAATGACAAGTATACCTGAATAACACGATTTATGATGATAATGATTATTTAATCGCATGTGACAGCAAATAGACGAACACACGATGAAGTAAAGGTCATTTGAGAAAGAAAATCAATGTGTCGGAAAAAATGACTAAACGAAAAAAATATATGCACTAGAGAGAAGCGAGATAACCGCACCTCTAACGCTGTTTCACTAATTTCAACGACTGCAACAACAACCTGAACCGGCTATGGCCTGTGAATATAGTGGTACAGCGGCGGTGTCCGCAGTGGTCGTTATCAACACCGGCGGTTATGATGTTTTGAGAGACAGTAATAGTATGTAGTATCTGTAGTAGTAGTAGTAGTAGTAGTAGTAGTAGTAGTAATAGTAGTAGTAGTATTAGTAATAGTAAGTATGCTCTATTAAAAATAGACACCGTGCAATGGTATCGTTGTGCGTGAAACAATTTGGTGTAATCAGCTGATGAGCGCGCAGTAGGTACGCACGACGGAGGAGAAATGTCATGCATACATAGAGGAAACGCGCGTTCCTTTGTTCTCACCGGGGTGGTGAGAAACGAAGGGGAGAAAGTGAGAGGTAGAGAAACACGCCGCAAGGGTTTCGTAGTCGCGTTACTGATTTTATCGTTTTCTCAAAAGATAGTGACATCGATTACAAAATACAAAATCACTACGAACCACTAGTTTTCTAATCGTTACCTTCGATAAAGGTCTTCGATGATCGTCGATGCTGTGCGTCTTTAATTTGTGCGTTACAAATTTGAGCATCATTCATTTGCTGCCGACAGAGATCCACTACTACCACCCCCGACGGGGGTCACTTCCGGTCGTTTATGCTTTAACGTCGCATAACCCTACAGACTTTTTGGTATTTAACACAGACCAAACGTGACGAACAGTCCACGAAATCGACACCAATCGTGCAAATAAGTTGTATGAGAACTGTACGTTAAAGACGAGAACAAAGAAAATTTCTTTAAAAACCACTTGTCGTGTCGAGATTTCGCGCAACCAATTCACTGCCTCTCTCAATGACCACCGTCCCCGAACACTACGCTCGTACTGACAGTGCTCTAGAGATGTAAACTATAGTGAACTGTAAACCAGCAGATCGTGCGCGACGAGTTGACGGCAGGTCACCAGCCTGCCCGCTCGCCCACAGTGCGCACAAAGGACTCGCGCACGCCCAGTAAACGTAAACCTCTGACAGCCCATAGAATATTGTAGTAAATCCCGTTCTCGTGTAAATTTTACTACGCCCGGGTCTACCCCGCACAGTCTAGTGATTACGGTGCGCGCGCTTAAGGCCAGCTGACCGTAGCCGCACCGGATCAATCCATTGGCCAGCAGTTAACAGGGTACGGGACCAACAATTCATAAAGGCTTTCCGAAATTTCTTAATTTATCACAAGATCGTAGCCCTAGGGCTGTACAGGTACACAAAGTACGTCAACGCGCCCAAGTCGGTAGTCCATAATGCCGCTTCAAGGCGGTCCCTAGTCGCGCGGCAGTAAAAGATTAAACTGCCCCATTGATAATATCGTAGCTCTATCATCTGCATACATACCTCTCTACTGCGTTTTTACACAACGCGTAGAATGCTTCAGCGCAGACCCGAAAATCGTTTTAGTGAATGAATTTTAGTAGAACGAATGTGAGAATAACTATACTGCTGAAATGAAATTAAAAGTTGTATGGCAGCCCAGGACTTTTTTTTACAAATGTCTGATATCCCTTGTTCATACACAAATTACTTTTAGTGTTTAGGATAGACTAAAAATCATTTATGTCATTGTTTGTCTTGAGTTAATAAATAAATAAGTATAGAAAAGCATAGAATTTTATTTCTATTCTAAACTTTAAATATCTCAATAATTTTTTTTTCTATTTAAAATTTAAAAAATAAATGAAATTAAACCCAAAATAATTATAATTGATTATAAATTGTGGCAAATTAATTATAAATATTCAAAACCATTTTGTTAGGTTAGTTAAATTTATTTTTATTTTATACATAAATTATTCAAATTTTACTAAAATTTTGTTAAAAACAAAATCATTTACTTAATGGTATATCTTTACTCATTGTTGATTAATATCAACTCTATGATACTCGAAATATAAGTAATATTTCTCAGTATCTCTAAGATAAAAAATATTATCCATCTTAATAAGCTTAATAATTCATGTTATCAATAAATATTAAGAGAAAGTTTTAATGTTTGGTAAAACTTAAATCATCAAACTTGTATAAACATAAATTATCAAGATAAAAACATATTTATTAGTTTTTCAATATTCATTCTGAAGTTCTTTACCTGTTATCCAAAATATCAGATATTGTCCCATTTTTGTCAGAATTTTTTCGGTAGTAGTGTAAATGTTTGAAAATATAAAATAGCACAGAAGATAAATAATTTAATCTTGAAATTGATAGCTAGGATAATTACTACCACTTAAACATAGTACAATAATGATTATAGCAGAAATATGTAAAGCATTGTATTATCTAGAATATATAATATAAAAAGTCTCCTGCATTTATTGGCGTTATCAATCAAATAGTGGATATAATTTTACGATACATTCATTCATAAAAAAATCTATAGATTGCTAATATCGTAATGTTGGTCCTACTGTAGTAAGATAGTAATACATTGACAATTGATAAAACACATGTGGTTATCATACATTATACACCATCATTGATAAACATATACACATTGTCCGTATGAATAAAAACATAAATTATAAATATTGTTTAAATATTATTCGATTTTAATCATTAAATATTTAAAAATATTTTGTTGCACCTAAAGTCTATATTTTCTGATTTTTAATATTTGTTGTTCAAATCAATTTTGAAAAATGGTACTTGTCTAATTTATTATGTTTATTTGATAATAATTACATATTTTACAATATTATTTTACAGACAAAATCAAAGAAAAGTAAGAAAATACTTAACAAACGGTTTGCTACTATGAAAAAGATGATAAAACCTACAGACTCAAGGATGTATGTTATTGTTATAACTTTAATGTGATAAATCAATGTTAAATGTATAGATTTCATAATTATTTGAATTTTTTTAAATATTAAAAAATATTTGGTTATTAATTTATTTATTTAAAGTAATAGAGTAATTTATTAGGCATCATTATATTTTATGTTATTTAATGTTACATTAGTGTGGTATTTTTCATAAATTATGCAAGTTCATTTTTTAAATTTATTTTGCTTAAGTATGTAATATGGTATTAGATATGAATAGATAAATTAGATATGAGTTTGATTAACTTATTATATGATGAATTTTCAGAAAAGAAGAAAAACGAACAGTTATTAAGAAAAAGAAAAAAGATGAGAAAGCTGTGGTTGTTCGACAAGTGTAATCATTTTTTATTATATTTACAAAAAACATTAATTTGTGAATAAAAATATAGGACTAGTCCTATATTATATTCATGTTTTATTAATTTATTTATTAATAAATTATGTATAGTAACTATTAAATATAATTTTAAATTTTAGGGCTCAAACAAGTTCAGCGTTGTTTTTTGAATTTAACACCCAATTAGGACCTCCTTACCACATTTTAGTGGATACTAACTTTGTCAACTTTTCAATTAAATATAAAATGGATGTAGTTCAGAATATGATGGATTGTTTATATGCCAAATGCAAGTAAATATTTAAAATGTTAAAAAATAAATTTTCATTAAATTTTTTATTTAAGGCATTCCATACGTAACAGAATGTGTTATTGGTGAATTAGAAAAATTGGGTCAAAAATATAAAATAGCTCTAAAAATTGTTAAAGATCAACGTTTTCAAAGAATACAATGTATGCATCCAGGAACTTATGCAGATGATTGTATTGTACAAAGAGTTACACAAGTAATATATTTTTTTAATTCATTGTAAATTTGAATTTTTTCTTTTAGTTTTCTGTGTTAAGTTATTTTAATGCTAGACTAAATTCTGATTCTTATGTGATAATTATTACTGAATAATATTGCTAAATGGAATATCAGTCATTCTAATACATACACTGAAATAGTTATTTCACTAAGAATGATAAAATCAACTAACTTACCCACAGTAAATTTACAATCTATTTTGGAATATTTTTAAATGGCGAAAAAAAAACAACACATATTTTTGTCAACATATATTAAATTAACCAAACATCAAATTTAAGAGTTCTTATAGATTAAAATTTAAAAGAAATAGTTATTTTATCTTAGTGACAATTTAAAGAGCATAATAATACAAATTTTTAATGTTTCATAAAATATTGTTTAATTAATAATGTCAACACTGCTTTAGGTTCAATAAAAGATAACCCCAAAATGTATTGCAGAACTTACAAATTGTTCTCAAAAATCTTATTAAGGTCATATTTTTGGAAATTGTATTTCTAGTATTATTTAAATCTTAGTAATATGTAATTTTTAAATAAAACAATTAAAAATTACTTGTGGTTTATTAGAATATTAGACTCAATGTTTCTTTAAAATTACTTAAAGATTTGAGTTATATTTTCTTCCATTTACTCCTTTCATGTCATTTATATCTTTTATTTTAGCATAAATGTTATATAGTCGCTACTTGTGATAGAGATCTTAAAAGGAGGATTAGAAAAATTCCAGGTGTGCCAATAATGTACATTTCCCAAAGAAGGTAATCTTTTTTTGTAAGTTTTAAGCATATATAGTTAAAGCATTATATTTTCAGATATACTATTGAAAGAATGCCAGATGCATATGGTGCCCCTAGGACATAATGTATTCTTTTTTTATGACTAATTGTATGTATATGTTTAACTATTAAATTTTCTTTGGTTCTCAATTGTTTTTAATTTTCCTGGCATTATAGTTATAAGAATTTTTTTAATTAAAATAAAGGCCACTAGCTATGATACATGGATATATGTATATCACAATAAAATAGCTATTTAAATAATTAGATTAGGTTAACAATTGGAGTGAATAACAGTTGTCACTATGGATCAGTATACCATTAGTTTTTAGTTTAGCACCAAATTTTAATGTGTTACCTGTTCTTATAATTTTAAAAGAGAAATGCCAGATATATTACATATATTTACTATAAGGCTTGATTTGAATGCTCCTAAAGCATTACATATTGTGTTAATTGAATTACAGAAGACAAAGGATCCATACTCCAATTTAGAAAGAATTAGTGATTTATAAATAGTAAATAGTGTTCCTGATGAAGCTCCCCATTGAGTGTGTGCAATAAATTGATTAGGTTGAGTTTGGTTACAGACTTTTTTAAATTACTCACATGTTGCTTCCAGCTACATTTATAAGTATTTTATATTTTCTGTAAGGATTAAATCCTAAACTTCAAGGAGATAAGAAAACCTTGATTGCATCAACATAATTCAATTATTACATGAAAGTTCTCTTAAAATATTTTTAGCGTATTTTCTATAGTTCATTTCTGTTTTTATTTGTATATTGAATGTTATTTTTATAATGGTGTTTGATTTAAAAAAAAATTTTATACATTAGTCTTCTTGGCTACGTTTTTTTAAGTTCAAATGAAGGTTTCATAAGCTTTTTAAGTTTATTTATGTTCTTTAAAACAAATATTTTTATTTATAGTAACTGAAAACTAATTAAAATTTAAAACTGGGCAATTTATATTATATCATCTAATTAAGTTTAAAGCTATTTAAAATATTTTATACAAAAATATATATTTATATTTTTTATTATATAATAATACTATGGCAAAGGAGATAAAAGAATAAATTAACAACTTGTTAGACAAATTTTACGTTTTTTTTTTTTTTAAATAGATTGTTATTAAATGAGTAAAAAATATGTTCAACAAAAAATTTTTTGCATTAAGCATTCAATTCTAGTTAATAGAAAAAAGGCCTGAAGAAATTTCAACGGTCCTACAGGATGTTAGTTGAATTATAAATGGTGCAGTCTCTTTCCTCTGGACCTATAGAAATAAACAATGATTAAATATTTTTAATATAAATTATAAATATTTAACTTACCGAAAGAATATGAAATATTAAATTAATACCCTCTAGTATTCACCTAAAAAAATACCCAAACAAATTAATACCTAATAATATGAATTGTATTCAGTACAAAAACATCATATCATAAAGTCTTATAAAAATATAATACTTTTTAAATAAGCTTACAATATCATCAATTTTCAAAATGCTGCGTACAGTTTCTGAAGCTAAAGTGATAGCACTAATTGATACTAGCAAAGGCTGTACCACATTTTCTTCTAAAATATTGGTTATTGCGCCCTATATACATTTAAACATTTTTAAAACAAGTGACTATATTTCAATGAAAATTCAAATAATAATATATAAAAATTACCTTTCTAACATTAATACCAGCAGTAATTTCCCCTTGAGAATGACGATTACGCAATTCAGTCACTGTGGTAATAGGATTAAGACCTGCATTTTCTGATAATGTCAAAGGAATCACTTCTAATGCTTGTACAAATGCTTTATAACAGTATGCATCAACTCCAGTAACTGACCTGGCGATTTCTGCCAGTTTTAAACTGATTTCAATTTCAGGAGCTCCACCACCAGCTAACAATGCTCTATATATATACATATATATAAAAAAATTATTTTTCAGAATAAAAAGTAGTTTGATAATTTATTAATTACCTCTGTTTTACTAGACAACGAATTACACATAGAGCATCATGAAGGGATCGTTCAGCTTCTTCTAAAACTAATTTGTTCGAACCTCGTACAATAACACTGACTGTTCTTCCAGGATTTTGTATTCCAGTAATTTGCACAAAATGACTATTTCCAGTCATAACATCTTCAACAAGATCAGCCGATACAAGGTTTTCAGCAACAAAATGATCCAAACTAGCAATAGGTCTACAATTCAGGGTCTGGAGAAAATAATTTTTTTTAAGTTGTAACAATCATTAGGTAGCCAAAAACAATCAAATTAAACTGTTTGGATATATATTGACCTTGCAAACATAATCTATGTCTTCTCGTTCTATATTATTAATGACCATGCATTTAATTTTGTCCAAAAAGTGAATAGCTAGTTCAGATAATGCATCACGCAATATTGATTTTTGAATTAACAAAACATTACAACCAGCTTTTTTTATTTGTTTGACAATATTTAAAATGTATGCTCTTTCTTCTCGTAACACACGGTCCATTGCAGTATAATCAGAGACCACAACATTGTAATCCATCTGAAATATGATTAAACTTTAGAAATTCTATTTACTATCAAAATTATTTATATGTATCCATAAAATCTATTGTTTCGATAAAGAAATGTAATTAGATTATCTAAATAATTTACATGCAACATATAAAATGTGCTGATAGCCAAATATATAAAATACTAAAACAAAGAGCATAACATTTTTTCTTAAAATAATACACTGATAAATATATTACTGATACAACATTGAGGTTTATTACTCTATTATATTATTTAATTTTATAACAACTATTGGTGATGCTAGAACAAAAATATTATATATTTTTGTACATAAATATCAGATATTTGTCAAAAATATATTGGAAAATATGCATATAAATATATAGGTAATATATCAACGATATGTAAAATAAAATGGATAATGCTTTAAAAAATAAATTAAATACCTTAATTAAATAATTACACAAGGTAAAAATAATATAGTTCACTATTGTTTATTTATTTAGTAAACTATTATCTATAGTTGATATCTTTACTTAGAACAGCCATTAATAAAGATCAAATTGCTAATATGATTGCCAACATTTGTTAACGAATATTGCACTTGAAGAAGAGAAGATTTCCTATAGTTAAATTATTATACCTAAACCTAAGATATATTAGTACAGAAAAGAGTTCTGAATAAGAAAAATTTGATGAATGTAAGATATTTTTATTATTTAATTAAAACATGCACATAAAAATCATCAGAAAAAGTTTCAAGAAAGATATATTATTTTAATTTAAAACTTAAAAAAAGTTATTTTAATACTACTAAAAATGCAACTTTTATAAAATTATACAAAAATATGCAATTTTGTTCATATTTACTGAAATAGAAAAAAAATGTCATTTAGAATCTACTCAAGTAAAATTAAAACTATATTAAAAATATTATTAATTTAAAAAACTAAAAAATATGTATATTTTTTAAATTAATAATATTTTTAATATAGTTTTAATTTTACTTAATTAATTAGCCACAAGTGATCAATTTTTATTATTATAGAATCTACTCATTACAAAGAGTAGACATTTTTAATCAAAATGATTCTAACTAGGTTATTGAAAAATATCCATTTACTTAAAAATCTGAGCTTTAATTATTAAGAATTGAAGGTTTAATATAATGTATACAAATACTAATATTTTCATATAGAAACAAGTTATTTAATAATTTAAAAACAGTTTTATCATTCACTTTATATCTCAAAAATAATTCTGCAATATCAAAATTAAATGAGTTACAAAAACTATATTTATTTGTTTGTATTATTCATTTTTCTTCAATTATATATTATTTATATACAATTGTATTATTCTCAACTACCTTTTATTTTATTCTAATACTTATTTAATTAGAAGATTGTCTTGAAATACAACTCTTTAAAATTTTAATGAAGATTTTATCTCTAGTAAATAATTTAAATTTATATAACTACAAAATATGTTTATATATGTCTATTATAGTTTATAAAACACATTAAAACTACAAGATATGAAGTTATTAAAAAAATAATAAATTATCATTAATTAAGTAAATTAACATTAATTAAAAAGTCAAAAATAAATAACAAGTTTAACTAAACAATTATATTTTGCTAATAATATCACAATATTCAGGGAAACATTAAAATTAAAATAGCACAATTCACTAAACACTTATAACAAATTATTATAATTATAAATGTAGACTTTTATAATTAACAGATTAATTATAACACTATACAAAATATTGAAGATTCCTAACAATAATATATAAAAATTGCTTGTCAAAAAAAAATTGTCATTTATGTATAATTATTAAGTTGAGATTTAAAAAATATCACTTTGTCATTGGTAAAACTAGTCTTTCATTGTTAATGAAACAATCTTTCATTATTATTTTCCTTACTAGAAATATCATAGATAAAGTAAGGGTTATCAAAGATGTCCACTTCAGCAGTAATTCACCAAGATTAATGCTAATAGATGTTTGTTGTAGTGTACGTTTAATATCATCGGGTAGTTTGTCAACCTTCAATTCAATCCAGGCTATTGGTAATATCATGCCAGGTTTGAAGTTTTGGAAGTGTGTACTGCCAGCTTTGTCGAGCATTACATTTATTTGAAACCTTGAACGAGCAGCTACAGTCACACCAAGTTTAGCATGAATATCTATAAAAGTTTCATGTTTTTCTGGATCAGGCGATAAGCCTAATACATCTTTACGAAGTTCTGGATCACCAAGATAAAAATGAGGGAATGACATCATCACTGGTCCACTAGAGCAAGGAGAAGCATCAATAACACCAGAAGGTGGGCTGTTATCTTCAGAGTAATAACAAGCGTTATCGGGATTAGTAATCGGTGTGTCAAAAACATTACGGGGGGCTTGAAACCGAAAAGCAGTTACTCCAGGTACAATTTCTACATCCTCTTTATAGATCAATGGAAATTTACGGCATAAATTCATGTGAAAAACATAGAGTCTGGAATCTCGACTTAGAGTAGTTGGTGGAAATTGAGATCCATCACTACCATCCAACCGGTTGCACTCGTCAGTTTTCCATACATTTAATGAATCTCGTCCATTATAGCGGGTTATAATACCCAATTCATCCAGGTTACCCACGCCACTATGAATGGTTATACGATCTGCGGATAAACCACGGCGATTGGTGACAATACCAAACTTGGACAGCTGGGCTTCTTTGTGCACTGTAGAAGCTAGCCCTTGAGCTAATGTGTAAAGTCCATCTTCGTAACCCCAGAAGTATTCGTTTATATTGAGTTTTAGAAAAGACTTGACTTGTAATCCGTCCAGGAAAAATGAGAATAGTGTATGCGTGAACAAGTTTGCATTAGACGCCATAGACATGGCGGCGATTAGAGGCAAGTTAGGTACCACAATTGGTATGTTTTCGGGATCTCCTTGTGACATCTCAGGTACAAATTCGCTACTCCGTTTTTCTTGATATGTGACAGTGCCGTTGGCGTTGAATTCCACATTAATGCGTTCGACAGTTTCACGATACACAAACGGCCCTAATTCTTGAACGATTGGCGTATCTCCGTGTTCCATTACCCTATCGATGTTAGTGTAATTGAACGGATAAATCGTCACGTACGGTTTGACAGGAGGATTTATCCACATGTTATAAGACGCGCTTCCTTGCGTGATGGTGACAAATTGTAATATTTGAAACATGTAAAATTCGGTAAACCACATGATAATAGTGAAAATACCACTTATGCCGATTAATATGACCAATAGGACAAATCCGGGTGGCAGCTTAGTCGTTGAATTCGTTTCATCTTCTATTTCTTTTTCCTTAGGAAGTGTATGCCCACGTTCCAAAGTACTGATTTTAAGAATGCCATTATTGCAAAATTTAAGTTTTTCCAGAATTTTCACTGCCGACCAATTGCCAGCTACACTTAGCTTGAGTTCTGTCTCGCACGTACTTTGCAACATGGTGCCCTACAAGTGCACACGTGATGCACAACACTTGTACTACCGAACACACTCGATCGTCAATTTTTTTTACCAATAAAAATAAATAAATAGCTTACAGGAGAACACTAACTTAATAGCTAACCGCACCGGATATTTAATTTATACGAACATGTACGCGACCATTTACTTTGAAAATAGAAATTTTGTTTCTAAAACACAAACGTTTTTTCCAACGTCGTCCGTTCTCCGTAGTTAAAAATTAATCACTGATTATAACATTTATTTTTTTGCCACTAAACGAATGAACATTGGACCTGATAAAACGTCCACAATCGTCTCAATGACGACTACGAAGAGCTTATGAGCAGTGCGCCAAACACGTGTTTTACGTTACATACACATTAACAGACAATAATGTAGTTTGGAACAAAAGATTGGATTATAGATTTTAATATTAAGGTCAAAGAGTATCAGACATAATTTTTCTAACGGTAAACATTCAAAAAAAAATTAATTAATTACAATTAATAAAAAAGACAAATTAGGAAAAACACAAGGTCATGAAGTTTTCACTAACAAAACAATTAGGTTTTTTGTAATAAAAATTCATAAATTAAATATTATTAGATTATTAATTTCGATGATCGACAAAATATTTATAATTTCATAACATCACGATTGAAGTTTACAGAACATTATAGGAATAACATATTTTTCTCAGATTTAATACTATCCATGTTAGATGATAGCGAAATATAATGTGGTTTTGCAATTATTGTTGGTGTAGGCTACAGTTCTACACATGTATATCGTTACTTAGGTATTATAATTAAAATTAAACAATCCTACTCTAAACTAAACAAAGCCATTATACAATTCAGTTGACATTGATTTTACATCAAATGAGACGCATTATACCCACGACAATGAAAATTATCATTTATTATTTCTCAATAGTTGAAATTACGAGTTCTAAATAATGGAGAAATTTAAAATCCATTAAGACTATATTAAGTTAAGAAATAATACATTAAATACTAATGTTCTAACCGTATACGACTGATGTTAATGAACTAATTAAATTTTTTTTTGTACTATTTATTTTTTTCAAATTAATAATAGCTAGTGTTGGCTGATTATGAACAATCATAACAGTAAAAAATACGATTATTTCTCTCCCAACATACATTATCTTAAAATGGCAATGCTAATTTAACTGATTAGCAATTTCTGTTTGAACAAATATTAATTAAGAGAGATACATAAATATATAATTAATTCCGCTTTATTTATTTTTCATTTTATAACACCTACCATAGAAATATATAATGATATAATAATAATATTATATATCACTTCTACATGTTTTATTTTAACGCGACAAGTAGGCTAAGAAAACAATGTTTCCAATCATATATTTAATTTTTTTTATTGATTTTTTAAAAAAATTATCCGTTGATGTATAATGGTTATTAGAAAAAAATTATCAATATATCCATACATAAATAAGTTAAGATAACTCAATACTTTTTTTATTATTATGAAATAAAAAATTAGCCTTAGGAATTATTATATTTAAGTTAGTAACTCACTTAACGTAATAAAACCGAATGGTCCACAACAGTATTCTACTTAAGATGTAAGAACTAACATTGTTGTCTATTTAACTAATGATTAGAATAACTCAAAAAGGAAATGGTCAAGTGTGTCGTCCTTTTAAACTAAGTACCAATCAAAATACGTATATGAATATGTCATAATCAAGTAATATACAGGGTGATCGGTTTATCATAAACAACTTGATTACTCTCAAATAAATACAATATTGAACAATTTTTGGTTATATTTCTTGATTTATTAGCTAATAAATACTTTTTGGAATTATCTCTTATAACTTAATGAGGTGTCAACTTGATTTTTTATATGTCAACATACATATTTAACTAGCTCATAAAATAGAAAATAATTTATATATAGAACATGACTAGTCTATAACAACTTTTGAAAGTTATTCTCATTTTTATACCTAAGCGAAACCAAGAGTACGGCCGGGAAATGTCTAGTGATAACAATGGCAGCGTCACTCTCCACCACCAGTCATTACTTAAAATTGTTAATAATTTCTGAAATACTGGACCAATAATTTTTATCGAGCACTTATTTTCTTAAAAAGATATTTTTCTATTTGATAAGCTAATTAAATATGTATGGTGTCACTCATTAAAATAAAGTTGACACCCTATTAAGTTATTAGGGATGATTTAAAAAGTAATTAATAGCTGATAAATCTTTTAGTTGAATAAAAAATAAGAAGAAATCTATAATTTTTTTTCAATATTGTATTTATTTTACATATTATTGGACTAACCAATAAATGAAGTGTGCTTTCAAAAAAGATTAATAAGTTAAGTAAAAAAAACAAATAATTATAGAGACGAGCGTTTTTATTTATGTCTTAAATCAACTATGAGAACTTAAAAATAAAAGACATAAAGAAACATTACATGAATTTACAATGAGAAATTAGTATTACTTCTTTTTTGATTTACATTAACTCCTCTAAGCAATTGCGTATTTAACTTTTTGACACTGTAAGCTAAATTATTTCACCCCTATATATATGCTAATATTTTGGGAGAGCATTTAAAAATAAAGATCAAAGAAAACTAGACTTGTAATAAGTTCATGCTAATTAGGTTTTATTTAGTAAAACATAGAACTCCAAATAATAAAAGTATGAACATCTATTTGTACATCAATAAAAAAATAAGTATTGACTATTGTTAAATTTAATAAAATAACTATTTTTATTCATCTTTTTATATTTTTCAACTATCAATTTCATAAAAATTTAAATAAAAACAAAGTATGTTTACAATGTTTTTGAAATATAATTAAAGAAAAAAAATTGTTAAAATATATTAATGTTACTTAAATTATTTTAAACCTATTAACCTATATAAGCTACTCATTAAAAAATAATTTTTAAATAACACTTTATTTACAATAAATACACTTCAAAACAGCTTGATAATTATTGATAATTATCATACAAAATAAATATATTGTATAATACAAGCAAACATTCATACAAAAATCATGTCTAAAATGTTATTTATATTAACTTAATTTTTTAGTAATATAAGAACAGATATTTGATTAAATATTTAACTCAGATAAATAAAAGTCAAATCATACGACAGTTGTCGTAATTAGGTGTCCTAAGGCTTTTAAATCATCACAGTATATTACTATTTGTTTATTCATACTTTGAACATAAAAATTAAGTATTCCAATCAGCTTATATAACTATTAATGGAATCATAAAAAATCATATGTCCCTATCTAGCAAGTCATCATAGGAAATACCAACAATTAAAATTTTAGTTGATGTTTCAGAATTGTATTAAACTCACTCACTATAAAATAGTGTAGTACAGGTGTCCTAAGTTAAATTCATCATTTTTTAAGCAGTAAATTTTTAAAAATAAATATTTTATACTTTATTTCAGATATGTAAAAGTCAAATCATACGACAGTTGTCGTAATTAGGTGTCCTAAGGCTTTTAAATCATCATAGTATAATACTATTTGTTTATTCATACTTTGAACATAAAAATTAAGTATACCAATCAGCTTATTTAACTATTAATGGAATCATATAAAATCATATGTCCCTATCTAGCAAGTCATCATATGAAATACCAAAAATTAAAATTTTAGTTGATGTTTCAGAATTGTATTAAACTCACTCACTATAAAATAGTGTAGTACAGGTGTCCTAAGTTAAATTCATCATTTTTTAAGCAGTAAATTTTTAAAAATAAATATTTTATACTTTATTTCAGATATGTAAAAGTCAAATCATACGACAGTTGTCGTAATTAGGTGTCCTAAGGCTTTTAAATCATCATAGTATAATACTATTTGTTTATTCATACTTTGAACATAAAAATTAAGTATACCAATCAGCTTATTTAACTATTAATGGAATCATATAAAATCATATGTCCCTATCTAGCAAGTCATCATATGAAATACCAAAAATTAAAATTTTAGTTGATGTTTCAGAATTGTATTAAACTCACTCACTATAAAATAGTGTAGTACAGGTGTCCTAAGTTAAATTCATCATTTTTTAAGCAGTAAATTTTTAAAAATAAATATTTTATACTTTATTTCAGATATGTAAAAGTCAAATCATACGACAGTTGTCGTAATTAGGTGTCCTAAGGCTTTTAAATCATCATAGTATAATACTATTTGTTTATTCATACTTTGAACATAAAAATTAAGTATACCAATCAGCTTATTTAACTATTAATGGAATCATATAAAATCATATGTCCCTATCTAGCAAGTCATCATATGAAATACCAAAAATTAAAATTTTAGTTGATGTTTCAGAATTGTATTAAACTCACTCACTATAAAATAGTGTAGTACAGGTGTCCTAAGTTAAATTCATCATTTTTTAAGCAGTAAATTTTTAAAAATAAATATTTTATACTTTATTTCAGATATGTAAAAGTCAAATCATACGACAGTTGTCGTAATTAGGTGTCCTAAGGCTTTTAAATCATCATAGTATAATACTATTTGTTTATTCATACTTTGAACATAAAAATTAAGTATACCAATCAGCTTATTTAACTATTAATGGAATCATATAAAATCATATGTCCCTATCTAGCAAGTCATCATATGAAATACCAAAAATTAAAATTTTAGTTGATGTTTCAGAATTGTATTAAACTCACTCACTATAAAATAGTGTAGTACAGGTGTCCTAAGTTAAATTCATCATTTTTTAAGCAGTAAATTTTTAAAAATAAATATTTTATACTTTATTTCAGATATGTAAAAGTCAAATCATACGACAGTTGTCGTAATTAGGTGTCCTAAGGCTTTTAAATCATCATAGTATAATACTATTTGTTTATTCATACTTTGAACATAAAAATTAAGTATACCAATCAGCTTATTTAACTATTAATGGAATCACATATGGCTATCTAGTGAGTCATCATAGGACATACCAAGTTAATTTCCAAAGTGCAATAGGACTTTTGTTTAACCCTGGATGTGTTATGATCTATTGCACGTTTTGTGCTGATCCAACACATAGGTGACCATTCAACTTGTGGATGTTCAGGTCAAATATATTAATAATAATATTAATTAGTCATAGTTTCGTCACCATATTATTAAGTGTATTAACTATTATTGCAATTATTTACGATATAGCTATTGTTAATGCAATAAATCAATAAGTATTAAATACTGAATTAATTTCTTAAATCCTTCATGCTAAGTTTAAGAACTAAAAAACGACACTTCAGTTAAATTACGTTCAACAATAATACAACAGACAACTCAATACCGCTTGCCGATAACTCACACATGGTAAGATCAACCAAAGATATCTGCGACAGCGGAAAAACAGATATCACAACGTTGAAGTCAACACTAATTATTAACTTAATTTATATGATACCAAATATTTTGATTAAAATTGATTTACTTTTTAATAATTAAAATATAAAAATATTAAATTACTTACATCTGTTTTAGGAGGAGATATACAAAACTGAATAAGGCCAATTTTTGCTTTTTCAATTTTCTTGGGGCCATTAACATTAGATGATTTTTGAGTGAAGACTAGACCATCAACAAGCTTAGTGTCTTCTACCGTTCCTCCAAGTTTCTTAATAACTTTGATATCCTACAATAAAACCATAACTATTAAAATTAATTTTAAAATAAGAAATTGAGCAGAACATTTTTTATGTAATATTTTAAAGATTAGATTGTAAATTAATAAATTAGTTATTAAAACGTAAATTTTTAATAGTGAAAAATGTTTTCAAAAAAATAAATACTGTCATTTAATAACTTAAATTTATAGGGTTTTATGTTTACTTAAATTATTAATAAACCAAAAGTTGATGTATTATCAAAATAAGTTGTACCTTTAGATCAACATTAGTGTCTTTAGCAGGATCTACAACTTTAAGAACAGCATCAACTGCCAAAGGAGCTAACAATGATGATTGTTGTGATACAACCTTAGAATTTAAGGCAGTAGAAGCACTTTTAACTAAACTTTCTCGATCAGTTAACTGAATAGGTGTAGCCATATCTTTGATTATTTCAATTGCCTTAGCAGCTGCTTTTTGAAAGCCATCAGATATAGCAGTTGGGTGAATTCCTTTTTGTAAAAGTTTTTCAGAAGCTTCTAAAAGAGCTCCTGCCACTACTACTACACTTGTTGTACCATCACCAGCTTCTACATCTTGAGCATTTGACAATTCAACTAACTAACAAACAAACATTACATAAGAGTAAAAATAAAAAAGTTTTTTTTTTTAGTTAAAGTTACCATTTTAGCTGCAGGATGTATCACATTCATTTGTTTCAAAATAGTGGCACCATCATTAGTAATAGCAACTTCTCCATTACTAGACTGAATCTAAAATATGAATATTTAAATAATTAATTAGTTAACTGTGATATTTTTTGATGATATTAATCAAGTAAATGATGCTTACCATTTTGTCCATTCCTTTAGGACCTAAACTCGTACGAATGGCATCAGCAACAGCTGTAAATAAAACCATAATTTGTAAATTACATTTAAAGACATTATAGATTTGTCAAATTCAAGTCCCATTTTATTTGTAAAAATAAAAATCAATATATTATCATAATGTTATATATTATCGAAATGAAAGTAATTAACCACCTGTAAATTAAAAATATTTCTTCACTTTTTAATTAACATTTAACTAAAAAATTGTGCAAAGGTTTGAAAAACATAAAAAATAATTATGACGTAAGTAAAATTTAAATATACTTATTATTAACATTTGTGAACTATTTAAACATATTTAAAGTAATATAAACGAGATAATCAATGACGATAAAGATTTCTAATTACAAATTAAATTTTAAAATACTCTATAATACCCAATGACTTGAATATTACAAGTAAAAACTACTAGTATTACCTTTAGCGGCTGCGATATTGCTTTTTCGGACTTCAGCCGGTTTACTTTTGTCTTTATAAGCATTCGTTGCTTGTTTGGAATCACCAGATCCCGAAAACGCAACCATGACTGTAAATTATTTCGTTTCTTATAAGGATTGAAATGGATAAATTTAAAGAACCAAAAATATCAGACGATTTTAATATCTTAGTATAATGCCATAACAAATCTTACTACAAATTGAAGATAGATGCGATTTATACAAAACTAAATACACTTGAATTTTAAATATATAATTGAAGCTAGTAACAACTTGCAATATTGATATGATATTTAAAACGTTCCATTATTTATCGTTAGATGGCGTAACTAAAGTTAAATTTTGACAATAAGTGAATTATTTGATTTAAAACTAGTGATAGGAAATATCGAATAATTTGAATAGCTTTTAAACTATTCGGATGTATAAAAACAATTCGAATAGTTATTCTATAGTTTAAAATATCCGGAAATGCCCATCACTATTTAAAACTCGATTTTTCAATTGTTTAATTGTCCAACGGATAATGTTGACCATTAGAGAAAGAAAATCATCTCCGGTTAAATAATTCCCAGTTTTTCATTAATTATCTTTTAGGTAACTATCTGTCAGTTGTAACAGATATTTTTGATTTTGGCATGGTGGACTTATCAGTTGTTAACAATAAGCTTTTTTTTAATAATCGCATAAATATTCTTATATTCTTGTATAGTTATTTTATTACCATCATTGTATAGCGTCAAAAAATTACTTATAGGCATTAAAATACATTTTTCAATAGTACATTTAAAAAATAAAGAAATACTAAAATACTTTTTAACGAGTGTAGTAAGTCTTGCGGTCACATCTTTACTACAATTTATTGTCAACGCTCCTTAAAAATATAGCATACTTAACGGTGCTATATTCCTCATCGTCAATATGCAAACTACACTCATAAATATGACCTGAAAAAAGTAATTTTCAAAAAAATATGCAATACGCTATAAAATGAATTAAATAATTGTCAAATAATAATTTATTCTGTATCTTCAGTTTTTGTAAATTAAATGAATTGAAGGGTCAGCGGGAATAACGCGCTATGTAACAATTTGTAAATTGTTCAGTATCAAGTAAAAACAAAATTACTTATGTTATTTCGTTTAAATATTATTTGGACTGCACGTAGCACGTTCTTCCAACTTTAAACATAATCAAATATCTAATTCTATAAATATATTGAGATAGACTTATAGCAAGTTATCCGCAAAAAAATCAAATGGGAAAAAGTGTTACATAGCACGTTATTCCCGCCGACTCTTCAATTAATGACCACTAAAATAATTGTTTAATAACGAGACATTTTTTTTTATAGAAAAATACAATGTTATAAACAATTTTATAAAATTCATTTTAAAATTTTACTGTAAAGAATGTTTGTGTTCTATAATTCTGAATCGAATAGAAATAAACGAAAATCCAATAGTACAATTTGTTAGGGTTGCTATAAAAATAATTAAAAGTCTGATATATGTAGGTGAACGGATGGGTGACCATGCATGCACTTCTACGGTGGCGAAAAAGCATCATATTCTCAGTGCAGAAAGCAACGGGAAACTACTGCATTTAATTTTTCCCAGGATATACCAATCCAGTTGGTATAACCAAGCTAACGGTTGTAAAATAAAAAAAATATATATATAAAATCAGATTTTATATTACTGTAAATGTGTTTACACTTTTAAGTTTTATTTAAACAGGATTTTAAAGTATAAATTACTTCAAAAAATCAATGGTTAATAATTCTTTAAAGATTAATGATTTAATGAAATAAATTAAAAACTAGTTCCCAAAAAAAATTTCGGAATGTGAACTCAAAAATTTCAATTTTCAAAAAACAATTCTAAGTACTGATATTAAAGAAAATATATTCTACATTAGTAAATAATTAGAATCGGAAGTTTTGGAAATTAAAGTTAAAGGATGAAGATGTTATTGAATGCGATTTGAGGGCAACTGACGTGAGCGTAGATGATGTGGGAGATCGTGTCAAGTAGAAGTTTAGGATAAGGGTGGCCATTCCCAAGTAGTTGGTATTAAGGAGAGGAAAATAGTAGAAGACATTGGTACATAATTCTCTTTTTTTGATAAATAGTCAAGATTTTACGATTTTTAAATATATTAATGAATTAAACACCCGAATTTAATGTTTGTTTCACGATAACCAATTATCTTCTTATATTTTGTTAGCATCTTGTAAGAATGAACAATTAAAAATATTACAAATATCTAGGTACATTCTTAGGCGTAGTTGAATTTTGAAATCTAATCTCTTCAAAAGTTTAGAAAATGACTTATTATTTGACGTACAAATATCATTAAGACTGTAGAAAATGTCATTAGCCTTCCAATTTTTTTTTAACTCTGCTTAGAGATATATAAAAAAGTATTATGTTAAATATGTTCTTAAATAAAATAAACTATACAACGTTGTTATGTTAACTCGGGAATTTTCTAAGGCTTAAAGTGATCAATGGCGCAATTCTGGTAGTGCATCATCACTCTCAGATTTGGTTTTAGCCTCCCACAATTTCTAGTACCTTCCCTGTACTTAATACCTATAGTTTCAATGAAATATTGTTATTTATAAAAATTAACTATTTGTTTTTTTCTATATCAAATTTTTTTCTCGTATTACGTTTACATTAAACTACTATACTATAGTAAATAAGATAATTATTTTGCACATATGGGGATAATATTAAACAAAAACTAAATTCGCGAATGAATGAAAAAATTTGTTAAATCCATAATTTTTTACTTGATAGGTATTACCCACAAAAAAGGCCGTTTTAGATGAAGCGAAAAAACGTTTTATGGTCTATGGGTATAAACGTAGTGATCAAATTTTGTTTTTGGGTAGGGCTAGATATAATTCTCTCCCTACAAAAAAAATTTTATATAACTATACTTATAGTTTTGCTAAATTTTTGGATGGTAAGTAAATTGTAAATGTGGTTAAGCACCTTCCTTCTGATCATGTCGTTGGCTACGCAAATTTAAAAAAAAAAAAAAAAAAA